TACAGTTTTGTACAGTTTAGTGACACTCTTGCATTTCAAGCTTCTATCAGATCTCCCTCAAATGGCTATATCATCATCAGATAATGAAACTGTTATTACTCTTTCACCTAGAGCAACTATACTCTCTATCTCTGTCATGAATTCGATGATTTTACTAGTTGAATGTGGGATAGCACTCTACATTTTTTTGTCGTCTACCAAGCATTTTGGGCTGTTTTGAAGAGAATGCATGGACGTGTGTCGAAGAGTTTCAAGGTACTGAGGCTTTTATGTTATGTGTATATCTTTTCTATAGGATTCTCAAGTTTTTTTAATCTTTGTGGGGTGGTAACGCTATAAACATTTTCTTTAGAAAATAACAGCAAATCATACAGGAACTTATATTAATTAAGAGTATATGTTGACTCGTAAATGTATACGATAACCAATTCAGTTTTGTAGTATGACTAGGTGCCGAACTCAAGTTTTCCTAATTAAGCAAGTCGCATTCTGTTGGCCAAAAAGAATCACAAGTCTACGAGAGAAATAGTTCATGGGAAGACTAAATCAAATTGAATCATCCAAAGATTTTTATATTGTGGAATAGACGGGCGAGGAGGGACTTGAACCCCCGACTCCGCGGTTCGTAGCCGCGTGCTCTAATCCGCTGAGCTACACGCCCTTAGGTACTTTGACGGACATTACTTTGTAAACAAAGTATATCATACATTCCTAGAGAGAACAAGCAGACCCTAAAATTAATATCCCCACATTTACTAACATCAAAGAGAAATCTTTTGCATACTACAAAATGATTCTAAAATTCCTACTGTAGACTACTGCACGATACTGTACAGTACCGAACGTTACTGAACAGTACTCATAAATCCAATCGACTCAACACTCCCATATACATACTCAAAAAAAAAACAAACAGTGCGCGAGGTGTTGGTATACACAAAACCTAGGTTCTGTGTATATGAACATGGGGGTGTAGACAAAACGTGGGTTCTGTGTACATCTTGTCTATGAGAAATTAATTGTCGCAAAAAAAATTTGTGGACCGGGAAAAGAGCTTAAGTCGCATGAATTTTTGAGCAAGAAGATGACTTCTTGAGAATCTGCTTTGAGCATACTTTCGATTGTTATCACAATGGATATCGTGTGAAGAAGAAAGGAACAAGGTCAAGATATGAAGGGGGAGGAGGGATTACTCATAATGGTGTCACAAATGTTGCAAAAGAAGCATAAAAAAAACTTTTTACGAATAAGACTTGTTGTTGCAAGTTCTTTTTTTAGAGTGGGATTGGGCATCAAAGACTAGTTGTGAACTAATCAAGAAAGAATTTCTTAGGGAAGGGTGTTGCAGTGTTACAAAACGGATATGATTAATAAACTTTTTTCAAAGAAGACTTGTTGTTGCAAGTTTCCCATCTCGGCTATCAAGACAAATTCCTCGTCAATTAGGAGGGGGAGTTAGTTATGATTCATTAGAATATGACATATTAATGAGAGATTACTTATTACTGAGAATCATAAACTTATAATAATACTAACCTAGAGAGAAAAGATTCTATTCATCTCTAATAATAAAAAAGGATTTTATTAAAGCATAAAAGTGCTTCATGAGCGAATTCTATATAGTGGACCATCTTGGAGGGCGATGAATGTCAAATAACTTACAACGACAAGTTATGTTTGAAAAGAATTGCTAAACGAGGACATTTTGTGACACTTGCGACACTATTCCCTAAGAATCCATTTATTATCGTATCTGCCCTTCTAAATCATGAAAAAAACTTGCAACAACAAGTCTTCTTTGAAAAAGGTTTGCCAATTTAATTTGGGTTGGGTCATTTGCAACATTTGCGAAACCATTTCCAAATAATTTATTGGAACTAATCATTTGCTTCACCTTTGCATTTTCCCCCCTACCATCTCTTAACCTTTCCACACTATATAATCCTCCGTTATATAGAAATTCCCTCCTAGTTTATCTAATGATGTTGCCAGTTTGGATCTTCCTTCAATAATTCCACGAATTAGGTGTTACAAGTGTTACAAAATCTCCGTTTTTCAAGAACTGGCCAATACGTTACCTACTTCCGTCTAAGACCAATTCACTTAGAATTCACGATTTCTTTTTGAAATACCAAATCTCTCAACTAATTTGCTGCTTGGAGGATTAGGAATCAATGGTAGTATAAATCAATTAAGTCGCAAGGATATTAGAGGTTGCAATAACAGTAACATCTTTGCAAGGACTGAGCTTACTACCTGATTCGGAGCAGCGGGATTTGAACCCACGACCTCCACCACCCCAAGATGGCACGCTACCAAGCTGCGCTATGCTCCGTAAAGGATACTCTGATATTTATTTTAGCTTGCAAACCCATTGGGTAGCAGCACTTTTGATTTATCGAAGAAATAGCAATAAAAAACACATACACACCTAAGTTTCCCAATTGGTGAAAAAGAATCAAAACAACTATCCTACTCGGGGCTAGAATGCAAACCAAAT